GAATATGAAATATTATATAGTACAGCCAGTCAGCTCTGCAATAAAGTAGAAGAAACAGCAAACAAAAATAGAACATCCAGGTTTGTTGTGTGAGGGTGAAGCAAAAACCACAGTATGACTAGAAGCTTCCAGAATGTTATGAAGAGGAGAGAATTTTAATGTTGGAAATAGAATTAGAGCAAAAACAAATCTTATTAATGGCAGTATATGCACCAAATAATAATCAACATGAATTTTTTAAAAAGGTACATAAGAAATTAGTGGATCTGGATTACGAAAATATTTGTATGATTGGGGATTTAAATGCAATAGTTGATGTTAAGAAAGATTATAAGAGTAGTAAAAAGAACAAAAAGAAGAAAAATATATTACCAAAATCGTTCTTTGACATGGTAACAGAACTCAACCTTCAGGATATATGGAGAGAGACACATAGATCAGACAAACAATATACGTTCTATTCTATTCAATCTTGGTCTAGGATCGATATGGCCTGGGCAACAACAGATGTACAAAACGGGATAGAGGAAATTGAAATAGGGCTTAATGATTGGGCAGATCACAATCCAATAATAATAAAATGGAAAGGCCAGAAACAGAGAAAAAGATGGTCAATGAATCAAAGACTGTGTAAAGATAAACAATATATACAGATGCTAGAAAAGGAGTTGACATTATTTTTTCAGGTAAATAAAAAGGAAAAGACATCAACACAAAATTTGTGGGATACTACAAAACCTTACATTCGGGGATTGACAATTGCATACAACTTTAAGAAAAACAAAGATAGGAGACTTCAACAAGGAAAATTACAAGAAGAATTTAAAAAAATAGAAGGTGATCTACAGAAGGACCCACAAAATAAAAAGATAAAAGAAAAAATGGAATATTATAAAACACAAGATTAACCTGATAACACAAAAAGAAATGGCACAGAAAATTAGGATGGCGAAACAAAATTACTTCGAAAATGCAAATAAAACTGGTCGATGATTGGCCTATAAATTAAAAAAAGAAAAAGGCAAAAGAACAATATACCAACTACAAGACGAAAGTGGAACAGTACAATATAGACGAAAAGAAAAAAGAAATTAATACAAAATTTCTTTTCAAAGCTATACCATCAGGAAGATATAGCAGATGATAAAGTCAAACAATATATAGAGGCAGCAAAAATGAGCAAAATCACTGAAGAACAAAAGGAAATGTTAAATAGACCAATAACTGCAATAGAATTAGAAACAGCATTGAAAAAACAAAAAAAAAACAACAACAGATCACCAGGCCCAGAGGAATTCCGGTGGAGTTTTATAAAAATACACAAGTGTCACTACAATGGATAATGTTGGAGCTTTACAATGAGGTGCTGGAAGAGATGAAGATACCGACAACTTGGACTGAAGCAATCATCACCCTCATTCCTAAGGAAGACTGAGACCTATAACAAATTCAAAATTATAGACCGATTTCTTTACTGAATACAGATTATAAGACATTTACAACAATAATAGCAGAAAGGATAAAAAAAAATTGAATAACTACATCCACCCAGATCAAAATGGATTTTTACCAGCACGACAAATAAAAAATAACATGATGATAATACTGAACACTTTAGAATTTTATGAAGTCCATCCTGAAAGACAAGCTACATTGTTTTTTCTTGATGCCCAGAAGGCATTTGATAATCTGAATTAGAATTTTATTATAACACAATTGTACTATATGGATTTTGGGACAAAATTTGGAAAGATGGTTGAGAAAATATATACTAAACAAACAGCTAGGGTAATTATAAATGAGGAAATGACTGGAAAAATTGATATAATCAAAGGAGTAAGACAAGGATGCCCACTTTCCCTCTTCTATTTATTTTATCATTAGAAATGCTCCTTACAAAAATTAGAGAGGACCAAGAAATAAAGGGTTTAAAAATTAAGAAGGAAGAATATAAGGTCCAGGCCTTTGCTGATGATTTGGTATTTATTTTGGAAGATCCATTAGAAACCAGCTTTAAATTGATTCAAAAAATAGAAGAATTTGGTGAGGTAGCTGGACTTAAGATTAATAAGAATAAATCCAAATTAATAACTAAAAATCTTACAAAGGCACAGGAAAGTGAACTGGAAAATAAAACAAAGATAAGTATAACCAAGAAAATAAAATATTTAGGGATCTGGCATACAGCGAAATGTTCCTCGATTAAGGAGGACAATTATGATAAAATATTACACCAGATAAAAAAAGATTTAGAAAATTGGGAAAATTTGCAAATTTCATTTTTAGGCAGGACCCCTACGGTCAAAATGAATGTATTGCCAAAAATATTATTTCTGTTCCATGTTATTCCAATAAAATTAGGGAAAACATTCTTTCAAGAATTAAATAAATTGGTCACTAAATTTATATGGCAAAGGAAAAAAACCAGGATTAAATTAAAACTCTTGCAAGATACGAAAGATAAAGGGGGACTGGCATTACCAGAGTGGGAAATATACTACCAAGCATCGAGCTTAACTTGGTTAAAAGATTGGATGGATTTGAAAAATACTAGAGTTTTAACAACAGAAGGACATGACTTGCAAGCAGGGTGGCATGCATTCCTATGGGATGAAAAACATAAAATACAGAGATACTTTCAAAGACACATAGTTAGGAATGCATTGCTACAGACTTGGGAAAAAAATAAAACAAAAACATTATATAAGAATTCCAGTGTGGTTATCCCCAACAGAAGCTCTGAAATACCCAAACCTACTGGATATAAATAAGATAATTAGATACAAGTAGTAAATGAACAGGGAAATCTGAAAACAAAACAAGAATTGGAACAAGATGTTGGCAGAGAGATTGACTGGTGGACATTTGCACAAATTCAGTCTAAATATACAGAGGACAAAAAATTATATGAAATACAAAAAGAGCCGCAAGGATTGGATAAAATTATACATGGAACAGAAATAAAATTAATTAGCAATTTATACAAATACCTATTGAGATATAAAATGGAAGATGAGGTTGTCAAATATGCAATGATTAGATGGGCAAAATTTTTTGAATATAATATAGAATTGGAGAAATGGGAAAAAATATGGGAAATAAACATAAAATTGACTATGTCAACGGCATTCAAGGAAAACCAGTTGAAGATGTTTTACAGATGGCATCTTCCACCAACAAAGCTTGCCAAGATGTTCCAGAACAACTCGCTAACATGCTGGAAATGTAAAAAAGTACATGGAACATATTATCATTTATGGTGGACATGCCCAGTTGCGAAAAAATATTGGACTACAATAAGAAGATGGATTGAAGAAATAATAGACCAACTCATAGACTGGAAACCAGAGATCTTTTTGCTGAGTATTTTAAACAGAAAATATAGTAAAGAAATATGGAACTTAATTTTACATATAATAACGGTGGCAAGAATAGCATATGCACAGTGCTGGAAAAACGAGAATATACCATCAGAGGAAGAAGTGGTAAGAAAATTCCTGGACTGTGCTGAGATGGACAAATTAACAAAAGAGATAAAAGAAAAGGAAGACACAGAGTACTATCTAACATGGAACAAGTGGTATGACTGGTGGGAGACTAGAAATAATAGAGGAGAATAAATATGGAAAGGTCAAAAGTGGAAAATGTGTGTATAATAATGTATAATAATAATATGAATTATTCTTAGTAAGAAGTAGAGTATGAAGGAAGAAAAATATAAATAAGAAACAACGGGGCAATAAGGACAAATATTCTAAAGAAGAATAAGGGGGAGAAATATAAATAATAGAAGATTACCATTACGTAATTGCTGTTAAAAAAAGAGGAGGAGTATATACTATGTATGTATGTGTGTTATGTTTTGTTTCATTTCGTTTTGTTGGTTTAAAAATAAAAAATAAAAATAAAAAAATAAAAATAAAAGAAGCTTCCAGAGTGTTATTTCTGAACTTGCACAGATCTATTTCCTCTGTACTTCTTTGTCAAAACAGCATCCACCAGAGGGAAATACTGATCTCTCTCCATCACATGCATAAGCAGATTTAAAATGTAAACATACATGCATATATATATATATATATATATATAGAGAGAGAGAGAGAGAGAGAGAGAGAGAGAGAGAGATGCATTGCTTTGGCATTGGGACAAAGAATTGTTTCTGAGGGATTACATTGGAGACCTGCAGCTTTTTAAGACGGAGAACGGCCAGCTGGGTTTGCTGAAATATTTTTAAATGCATTCATGCAGGCTCCGATCATCAGGCCACGCTTGACCTATTTTTGGCTCAGACCAGCCATTGTTCTATTTCTGTTGCCTGAGGGCCCTGCTGTTGTTGATCTGTATGCAAATGAGCACTCACTAGTTCCAGCCAATTTTGCCAAAGAGAGGAAGAGAAGCAGGCAGAAAGGCAAAGACAGAACAGGAGGAGGAAGAGGAAGGGGAAGCATTGGACTCAGGGATAATGACATGTGCCAGGGTTGAGAGTAATTGAAACTAAATTCCATAGGGAATACAATCCCTAGAAAATGCCAGCTAGTTTTTGGATTTCAGTGGCTTTGTTTCTCTCATTCGATTCCTAAGAATAAATTGAAAGAGAAATTTATCTTTTTTCCACCTGCTCTTTGAATGCAGAACACAACTAAGGTACATAATAATGTTTATTTTTCTCTCATTTGCAAATGCAAAGACACACATGCACACATATACATGCAAACGTGCACACAGAGAAAGAGGCTATTTTTCTGTAATAAATTGAATTGTCTTAGAAGTGGATTTCATCATAATTGGAACTGGATTGATAACTTAGAAATCTGTCTGTATAAAAGTAGTTCATATATATTCATTTTGGCAAGTTGTACTATGAATATTGTTTAAATCCCAGAGAAAGGTTTGTTTCCAACATCTCTGAACGATTGGTGATGAATCTTTCATGTAGCTGAACTGCAGACTGATTGGAACATGCAGCAGACAATTTATGAGAGTGAATTGTTTTTTCTCAGATGGAGTTTCAAGACGCGATCAGCTCTTGGCTCAGCAAAGAATGCACAGCATGATCAGCTCAGGTAGGAAATTCAGAGTAATTTATCAATAAAATATAGATGTGAAACATCTCTTATGTTCAGCTTCTTATTAGTTCTATTCTTTCCAATCTAATATTTTGTGGGTTGAATTTTCTGGGAATGATTTCTGGGGTTGGGGGAGAGTGTCTCTCCCTCCCTCCCTCCCTCCCTCCCTCCCTCCCCCTCCCTCCCCCTCCCTCCCTCCCTCCCTCTCTCTCTCTCTCTCTCTCTCTCTCTCTCTCTCTCTCTCTCTCTCGATAGTGGGTTTGGGAAAACCATTACAGTTATGATAGTAAACCTACCTAACAGCTTGTCTGTTTGGAAGAAAGCCTCATAGCCTGAGCTGCTTCAAACACACTTAGTTATCCAAATCAATGAGTTCTTAGCTGCAAATTTAAAATATTGCTTTGTTGAAGAGGGTTATATCCATGTTACAACTAGAAGGTCTGTTATCATACTATTGCTGAAAAAAATCATATGATTTCTGCTAATATGTTTTTTTATTCTGTAGTGATGTCTTAGAAAATTATTCTTAAGTGCCTTGGCTTGCACTACATTTGAGTTCATTTCTAGTACTTGAAACATATTTGGGAAAATTGAATGTGAAAATTACATTTGTGCTAATATGTTTTTTTTTAATTCTATAGTGATGTCTTAGAAGATTATTCTAAGTGCCTTGGTTTGCACTACATTTGAGTTCATTTCTAGTACTTGAAACATATTTGGGAAATTTGAATGTGAAAATTAGATGCCAATGAGTCAATGCAAGTGTTTAAAGAACAGGTGTTTTAAAGATGCAGTTACCAAATGATTGAAGTTCTCCTCCCCCCTCCCCCCCATCAACTTTTATGGTTTCCCTAGCTTATATTCTGTTTATATATTTTGTAAAAATCAAGGTAATGTGATCTTGGAGGAATTATTTTATGTGTTTGCCAGTCATTTAAAATACAGATAAATACATAAATGTTCTTAGGTATATCACATGTTGCAGAGGTTATACTGTATTTCCAAAATCGTAATGAGATTATTTTAATCCTAACTTCTCTAATTTGTTCATTTTAAATTCTCTCCATCTTCTTCATTTGAAATGTTTGCTCATAACTGAAAATAATTTATAAAGATTTTTGAGATTAAAAAAAATTGATTGACACTGTGATATTTATATTTCTAGTACACCTATTGATCTCCACAGGATTTAAATGTATGATATTTGACACTGTTACTTTTTCTGGTTTATATGGTAAAACATATGGAATTATACCTTTATAGAAAAAATAAAATAAAACAACAGGAATTGTGAATACCTGTACCTCCTCCCCTTTAATTGTGTTTTTGAGAATGATTTAATTTTACACATTCTTAAAAAAGAGAAACTTCATTAAAATTACAGTAGGCAAATAATGCTAGTTGGAGTTTTTTATTACCTTCTCCATACTAGAAAAAATTATGTTGATTGATTTCCACTTGTTACACTTCTTTTGAAGGCTTTTGATCTCTGGGCAAGTGAAAAATATTCAAGTTGATCTGGTCCCATAATAATTCTTTTGGGAAAGGGGAAAGGGTTGAGTATTAAAAAATAACATACTACTGAGGTACATTAAATGTACATCTGAACTTTTACTCTTCAAAAGTCTTGAAGAAACTATAAATAGTAATTTACTGTAAAAAAAACCCCCACAAGTACCAGAAATATAAAGGTAAAGATTTCCTTATCCAGTCATGTCTGACTCTAGGGCATGATGCTCATCTATTTTTCTTGACTGAGGGAGCTAGTGTCATGTGAAGAAATTTTCTGTGGTCCTGTAGCTGTCTGTATTAAGCTATTTTGGCCTTATGAAAAAGTTTATATTCTGTTAATCTATTATGTATAGCCATAGACTATAGGAATGACCCTATTCAGTGGATCAAATTTTGAATTAGAAGGCACAGGCTTATTCTATAGTTCCTATACAGATATACAGAAGTAAGATTTTTGACAGGTGTGATTTCCTTAAACTCAAAAGATATGGCCAGCAGAATCTGATAAAATACCATCTTAAAGGTTAAATATACACAGCTTTAATAATTAAAGTATCAACAGATATAATCTATACAGAGGTATCTCTCTAGGAGGATTCTCGACAATTCAGATCATGGTTGTCCAAAAGATCCCTTTTCAAAAATGAAGAAGCTTCTTGGATGAGAGGTGAAACATTTTCCAAGGAAAAAAAACCAAGAAAGTCCAATTGTCTTTTTGAAAAAGCATCTTTCGGACATACAGAGCTATAATAAATTTAAAACTTCAGGCTTCCACTTACATGTTTTAATAGTCAACACATTTTTCCTTTTCCAAAACCTTGGTAGAGATTAATCATTTATAAAATCTCTAACAGTCATTTGAATAAAATATGTTAAAGGATTTATTAAACAGAAGAATGATGAAAAGTTGGGTACAGAAATGAATTCAAGTAAAACAAAACGATCTGTAGTAGAGATCCTGGAAAGACAGTGCTTTAGCAAAAGTAATAGTATGAGATATTACTTGGAGCTTTTGTAATTAGTTCAGATATATAGCTATTCTTTTAGTCCTGAGTATGGTCATTGGCATGGTTAACAATATTTCCTATGGTGCCAACCTGGCTATATGGCCAGTGTATATTTACTCAACTCTGTTTTGAATTATTTTAATTAATAGTTAAATTATTTACAACTGTTATTAATTATAATGTCAAAGGATCCTATAAAGGCTCTTTCAGCATATTTAGGAAAAAATGGTGAATGGTTGCAATCTAATGCTTTATATTAAAGCATGCCCACACAACTAAGATTTGTGTAAATGCAAGCTCAATACAGAACATTTCAGGCTAAAAAGGAATGAGAGAAAGCAGCCGTAGTACTCTGCTTTCTTTACATGAAAATGTCATTTAAATGTGTTTTACTCTATCACAATCAACCTTATTTTAGTAATCTATGCTACTGAGTTCAGTATGCCTTGCTAATCTATAAAGTGGTACATTCAAGTCATTTGGAGAAAGATTATAGTTAAAGGAATGAAGTTAATGTTTTCAGGAAAAACTAGAAAAGATTTATATTTAAAACCTTGGAATTGCTACTAACTGGTGTTAATTAATCTCTCCAATTCAGTGCTTTCACATATGTTGGGGCTACAATTCATAGAATGGCAAAGCAATGTGGCAAAATAAAGGGTTAATAATTACTAGTGTAGATACTACTAAGCTATATACTGTATATTGATTGATCTAAATTGGGGGTTGGGAACTTGTGGCCCCTAAACCCTTGTTGAACTTAGAAGATCCAGGCAACAGGGCCATTGATCAAGGATGCTACGCATTTACATCTAGAGGCTATATATTCTCCAAGATGTTGCTAGTTAAAATTATAATACCCTTTTGTTTATATGATACAACCTGGTATATATAAATTGTTGGGTCCTCGGCTAATGGCAATGACGACGTGAGACATTCTTGATTTTCAGTAACCTTCTTTATTTCTCTTCAGCAGCCCCATTACAACTCAAGGCAGCACGGACTTCTCAGCCTCTCTTAAGGACCTTTTTCCCCGGGCCAAAAGGCAACATTTAGGCGCGCTAAACACCTCGTGCATGCGCGCGAGCGCTGGCGCCAACCAGTCTGGTCCCGGGCAACTTGCAGCTGCCCGGGACCATTGCAACGTCCCGAGCCTGCCCTTTTGCAGGCTCAGGACATAACACCCCTTCCCCCCCGGCTAAGACTACATTGACAATTTTAACGCGACCTCAACACGAGCGTGGTGTACACTCTTGTTAAATGGTACCACGCTATAGTGCTGGGGATTAACTCCAGGGTTCCCATTTCCGGCTTCCACAGAATACACTTAAGTCTTCTGCCTGGCCAGTAAGGTTATAAAATCTTCAATATTTGGGAGACCTCTTATCTCTCTGTGACCTATGTAGGCCTGGATTATTTACAAGTACACCTTGTCCTGTGGAGGTTATAGGTTCACCCCCCTTCTCAGACCCTGGTGGCCCCTGTGGACTGTGCCCTGATGCCTGGCCTGCTTGCTTGCCCACCGGGCTCATCAGGCCAGGACTTCGCTCTCTCTCTAACCTGGTTGACCTGCCTAGTTGCAGGCGATCTGACCCTTCTATTAAGCTGCCATTGTTGGGTAGCTCTGAATGGCCTCTCAAGCCCACACTGGACCTAACGGGAGGCTGGCTTCCTCCACTCCCCAGTTCCATAGCAGGACTGTCTGTTATCTCAGTATTGTCCCAAAACTCAGTTCCCCCCTCCGTTGAACCAGAGGGTCCAATGTCTAGAATTGGCTCTTCTCCCACTTCCCTGTGGCAGTGTCCTTCTCTGGGGACTGTGGCTGTGTTGGGCCACTTGTATTGATTGTGTGCCAGCTCTCTTGCAATGTTTGAGTCATTAGGATGCTCCCGGTTATTCTCCCTGACTGGAGTGCTGAAAGGTGTATGTGTGTAATGATTATGCCCCCGGGGTGACTCCCTGGCTGGAGTCTATGCTGTAGCTTGTGCACTAACTGGTTCCCTTGAATTCCTGTTTGGAACATTCGTGGAATCATGCGACAGGCCCTCTGTGGCCTCACTGTGAGAGTCTGAATGCTGCCAACACCCTTCCCTTTGCCCGTAAGGGTCCCCTTCCCCCCCTGGAAAAGAACCAGGAGTCTCTGCAGGTGAGTTCAGCCTTGTACACAGCTGGTCAATATGCCGTCGCAGGATGCGGCCGTCTTCCAAGGAGACCTCATAAGACAAAGGGCCTGTAACTTTGCAAACAGTGGCAGGAACCCATAAATGGCCTGGCCCGTAGTTACGGGTCCATACAGGGGCACCCACTTGCAATTGCCACGGTGCCCTGGGCTGTGTACCCCTAGGCGGCAGTCTGTCCGGATGCAACCGGTCAAGTTTAGTAATAAGTTTGCTCCCCCAACGAAGTTCAGCTGGGCTCCTCCCGGTAGAAGTGGAAGGTGTAGTGCGGTATGAAAGGAGGAAGTCAACCAACCTGTGATGCCA